ATATATATATATATATATATATATATATATATATATATATATATATATATATATATATCCCTTTTTTCCTTAAATAAATTTTACAAATTGCCTTCTTTTCTGGTAGCATTTTCCAGATCTTATACTCTTCATGTTTTAGGGCGGGATTTCCTCTGAAGTGGGGAGTGAAGATGCATTTCTATTTGTCTGCTGGATGTTAGCAACAATATTTTTATTGGTCAACAGCGAGTGTTTGTATCAGTGAATAGAATCTGATCTGTGAAACGCAATTTGAAAAGGACGCAATTCATAAAACGCAAGGTATAACATTTTATAAAAATATAAGCTCTGTAAAATTTTTTTTATAAATTATGAAGAAAAATAATGCTGAAAATAAATGTTTGAATATTAGTGTATTTTACCTCAATTTGAGACGGTAAATAAGGTAATCTGCTTCTTTTTAAATTAGAAAAATTCAAAATATAAAACCTGTAAGAATTATTTGAAAAAATAAATTAATAAAATGTAAAAAGCTAGTAAATAATTTTTTTTCAAAAATAAAATACTGAGAAAACAGCAAAGACAGCAAAGACCCTTTCAACCTTAATTTAGTTACTCAAAGTTTTCAAAGTTTCATGTCTGGATTGCATTTTTTTTTTGCAACAATAAAAGAATAAAAGTTCACTCTATATTTTTTTTTAAATTACTCAGCTTTTATAATGTTCTCTTTACTTTGCTGACTCAATCAGGTGTTAATGTTTTCTAACTCCATTTAAGCAGACGGTTTTACATCCAGTTATGGAAAAGTTGGTATGAAATGTGTAAAACAATAAATCTACGAGTTTACTACAAAAGAGGGGTCAGTGTTACAAAATCAGTTATAGAAAAATTAGCATAGAAACATCACCTTCAAACCTACATGACTAAAGCACTTATAAATACACCTTTTGAGTTATTATGTCATTTTGAAGGTTAGTTATGAATCATAGGTCCTGGGAACAGGTTAGCTCTGCTTTGTGGATTAAAACTCCACTTTTCTGGGCTGCAGTCAGAATTTAACATTCCCGGTTGCCACAGTAATGGGATGCTGATAAATTGGGTAAGGCTAACTTTTAATTTTACTCTTCTCCCAAAATAGCTAAAGTTATAATCTTCTTTTTGTAATCAACATGTAGTGTTGCCAAGGGAGAGTCACGTCTCCATGGTGATGTTGTGATGAGTTTGCTCTTTTAAGGGATAAAAGGAAATGAGAAAAGGGATAAAAGAAAAACAACAAGAAAGATGCTGTGTTTAGCACGGTTAATAAAGGCTCAACCTTCGCACAGATTTCATATTTGACTTTTGGATTAAATAGATATTTGCTTGAAGTAAAGTTGTATTTGGAGATAATGTACAGTTTATGAGAAAAAATAGACTTAAGACTTTGATGTGTTGAAGGCTGACAGACAAAATAAAGAAAAACTTGACATCACAATGATGGCAGGAAGAGATCAGGCGGGTTGGGTTGGTGTAAAACATTAAGCAGGGATACAGCAGCTTCATCCTGGAGCCAGGCCAGGAAAGAGGCTCATCTAGAGTATCAGTACCACCTGATTTACCCATGCAGCAAAGAGCCAATAAATAGAAATAAAACTAAATTGAATTAAATGGGAAGCTTTGATGAACAGACCAATCTATGTAAGCGGGAATGAATGAATGAATGAATGAGTGAACAGAATACAATAAAAAAAATTATAATCCTGATTCATTCTTAAGTTATTCTGGAATTCAGTATTCTGTTGTGATGTTTTTTCAATTTTTTTTATTTTTTTTATTTTTTATTCTTTTTTTCTTAGAAAAATTCAATTTAAAAGAACAGGTGCAACTATATTCAGTGAAAAAAAAGGATAATCAAACATTGTCATTCGTTTACAGAAAAACCAAAGAAAAAACACAATAGGAAACTCATTACAAACCCATATCAACAAAAATACTTTCCCTCTTAATTATTTACAGTGAAAAAATGTATGTTTATGCACAAAAATTAATCAAATTGTCCAGTCTTGAAAATATTTGCATTTACTGAGCAGTCTGAAAATGTCCTGAGAAAGTTGTTAGGATCTAAATCTGTTAATAACTAATATTCTGTGTTTTTAAACCATAAAAGTTTGGGGATTTTGTTATTTATTAAGAGTAAATTACATTGATCATTGATTTGAACATAAGATGTTCAGACAGTAACCCTGTTAATGTGACCGTCAGCTCTTCATACCTCCATGATGACATCCGTCCAGGACAGACAGCGCCCCCTGCAGAAGCTGACCTCCACGTTGTCAAGACGACAGCCTCCCTTGGTGATGTTCCGCACCTCAACGTAGCGTTTGCACTCCGCCACAGGCTCACCTGATGGAAACACAGATCAGGATGAGGACGGAGGAAAAGCAGGACAGAAAGGATGTAAAAAACTCTTTATCATTTACTTTTTGCACAAGCATGAAAGAGAGGAATGATACAAGGAGAAAAGGGAGCTGATAGTTTCTCTGCAGAGAGCAGAGTGACATTGCTGTGCCCCTCACGCCATGTGACATTTCCTCCGCAGGGAGAGCGATTAAAGCCTGGCATGGGCTGAGGAATGTAATCTCTCATTAATTGGGGACTGCAGGACTCAATTTTTACCCTTCTATAAAATAAATCATCACATTCACTGAATGACTGTCATGAGGGCTTTTTGAAGCTTGTATCCAAACACAGAGCTGAATTCCCTCATGAAACTAACCTGGGAACAGCTTCCTGCAGACTGGACAGCAGCTGCCTGGTTCCTCCACTTTAACGTCACCCTGACAACAAGAGGATGCAAGTTTATTTATTAAGCACATTTGAGTAGCAACTCAAAGCCTTGCATGTAAAAAAGAAAAAGCAGCATAGGAAAAGTACACTGCAGTGGCAGATAGGTATTTAAATGCATAATTAAAACAAAAAATCAAAGGGAACGAAAATAATTTCAAAAAGATTAAAAATTATAAAAGTGAAAAGAAAGAAAAAAGGATTTTTGTGAATTTTTTGCGTCCATCTTTTTATAGCTTGTGCACAAACTAATTACATACCCAAATACCATTGGTCAGTAATAATATTTTCCCACATGTTTGTGATGTTTCTTGTTTGTAAGTGATATGTTAGTTTCTGGTGATATGTGTAAAATTGTACGTTTTGCAAAACTTGAGCTTTGTAACTTTAAACATCTCCAAAAATATATATTTTTTGCTGACATAAGGAAAAGCTATTTTTAATATTCTTTATCTTGGGTATAATTCATGG